CTTCCTGTGGATTTTCATAGCCTTCTTAGATGATATCTCGCAGATCCTGATAAATGAAGATAGTCTACATATGGGCACTCTAGTACTTGAGCAATTCTCCATCGAAATGGAAATTTGATTGGAAGATGTGGCAAACATGGTATTTGCTAAAACTGTTGTCATGCTATTTTTACAAAAAATTGTCTAGACCAAAATGTAGGGATTCTTGTAGAGGATAGAAAGGTATAGCTCTGATACCACACATATATTGTTTAGAATACATCATTTTTATTCTAGCAGAAACAATACATGTATTATTTCTGTGATGTGACTGAAACTATCACTGAAAATGAGTGATTATTATATCTCAACTTTTCTCAACTTTTAGTTGTGATTGTTGAGATAGTTGAGTTGAGATTGTTTTCTATCAGCTTTTAGCTGATGTGGCATATACAATCACACATTCCAAACGTTGTATTTTACAATATATCAAATTCGATAATACATGTATAATATTATACATGCATTCAAAACAATACATCTATTTAACAATCGCAACTTCCAAACGAAATGCAAAAAACCCTCTTTCATCATCTTTTCTTCCATAAGTAATCCGGTTTTCGGTTGCAACCAAAATGGTTTAAACTGCCCGGTTTCCGGTTTGACCGGAAAATTGAAACCGGTCCCAGGGTTAGGGTAGAGGTTTTTGGTCTTGGTAGCTTTGTTTGGTTATGGGTAGGTGAGAGTTATGTCGAAAATTACAAAATTAAGTGGGGTGACAAATAGTGTGTACTATTTCCATATTTTTTGTGTCTGAAAAGGAAATAAAAAGACGAGGAATTTTACAATGCTATATAGTATTGGTGCTATAGGTTTTTGCTTTTATGGTACAACTTGAAATTGTACATTTAACGTTATGGTACAACTTCAGATTGTACCTATACTTTTTGTACAAATTCTTTTATGGTACACCTTGAACTTGTACATTTATGTGATAGTACAACTTCAAGTTGTGAAGTTGTACCATAACATAATTGTACAAATTCCTTTATGGTGCAACCTGAACTTATACATTTAACGTTATGGTACAACTTCAAGTTGTACATTAAAGCACCAATACTATATATCATAGTAGAAGTGCTCATAAAAAGACAGGGTTGGAAAAGAAGATTTTCCGTGGATGCACAGTGGTACAAAATCAATAAATCTCGTAAATATAAGGTGGAGAATTCAATACAAAAACGAGTTTTATGGTCCTACAAAACGTAATCCAATGTTGTAATTTGATAGAGAAATAGGGATGACAATGGGTCGTGTTGGGCCGGGCTGATAGTGTATATTCATTATGCTACGCAAAGTAGTTCGGTTTTTAACCATACCCACATAATAATAGGGCAGTAAATCAAAGTATGCTCATACCCATTTGGGTTTCAGATATCCACGGTTATCTATGAATAATAATTCTTCTTTATCATACCAACCAACATCAGTGGCGGAGGCAGTATTTCAAACCACCCATGTCCTCTTTTCATAACTTAAATATATAAGTATTTAATTAAAAAGTATTTAATAAAAATAATTAAATCCAAATAATTCATAAATTAAAAATAACCGACTATACAATCATAGTTTTCAGAAACAACCACGAAGGGATTTCATATTGTGAAAGAAACGCAAAAAACATTCATTGTCTACACTATTAAATAAGACTCTTTCAATGTATCTCACTAAACAAACATTAGCAAATTGGTCGCCAAATCGACTTGAAAACTTGTTCTTGATATAACTCAAAGTTGCAAATGCTCTTTTTACACTTGCAGCTGTAATTGGTAGAATCAAAACTAGTGGAATTGTCGCTGTTGCTAGACAATTTCAGGGTATTGGGGGAAAAGATCGAATATGCATAAGGAGAAAAGAGATCCGATTAGATATTTATTGCAATTGAAATTTAGTTTATTGTATAATAAATTAATTTGATGTCAATTTTTGAATAAGTAATGAGTTGTTTTGTAGTGTCAAAATACTCAAATACTACCTATATATTGGTGTATGTTTGTTCCTCGAAAATTTACCCCTGTCCCAAGTCAAGGCCCAAAGGGCCTGCCTGCGCCAATGACCAACATGTTAACATTCACACGTATACTCACATTACAGAAGACAAAAATTACGATAATAAATCACTATAATGAAGAAAATAAATAAAAAAATAACACAATTTCATGAAAATATATATTTGTATGCTAACTATAAAATATGATGAGAAAAATAATGATAATTTCTAGACAAAGTATATATGCATGTCTATAATCGGGCAGGTTCGGGCTGGATAGTGAGAAAACCATGTCCACCCATTACCCACAGTATTAGGGTTCGGGGTTTACACGTACCCACCAAAAATCATTCGTGTTTGAGTTTTACCATAACCGATTAAGTCGGATTCGGGCGGATATCCACGGTTTCGTATATTTTTGTTATCCATATAGAGAAACATATAATGGTCTATATCATAGAGGGACAAGGAGGAAAATAAGAAATTGTGAGTTGGTGCGGATTCTCGGGCGTTTGTTAATCGATTTTTTAAATCTTCAACAAAAATTTGATGAACCATACCTCATTCATTTTTAATTGAATTTAAAAAAATTATGCATTGAAATATTAGTTTTTTTTAGTACTCTACAAAATGATATCCATTTTGATATTTTTGGAGGAAAAAAATTCCAGGTCAGTATATCACTATCATGTCACAATATTACCAATGACTATTGTCTTCCTTATTTGCGACAAATTTATTATGAATATTAGTCTTGCGGAATGCTTAATTGAAGAATTGCACACAACCTGATGAAAAAGAAGGATGGATAGAGAATCACAATGGTACCACCTTGTTAATAAGCGCGTTGATTAATTTGATATCGAAAATCTACCCAACCCACCATTGTCCACCCACAATAACAACCTAACAATGAAGTGTTCGACATCGAAATTCCATGGTTTGATTGCACATATTTTTAGGTAGAATTGCATTCTAAATGCAGAAGTATAATTTTGAGCAAAAAAATGTTTAGAATTTGACAATCTCGCCCTCCACCCCTAACATTCTGAGCTGGCGATAGTTGTAATTAACATTCCACCAACACCGCATACCACAACAAAATTTCACCCTTCTGGATGTCTACGATTTTATCGTTGGTCTTCATTCTGAAAGTCTATTAACATTCAAAATGGTGTTATTCAGAGTCCTTATTTAGGTTTGTTTTTGAGTCATCTCATGGTCTTGGTCTACATATCGTCAAATGCATCCTTTATTCGTTCTTCAGAGAAAATATTAGCATTTTAGGATGTATTAGATGATATGAATGTTTTAGGTACAAAAAGGGGCACAAGTGTAGAGAAATGTGCAAAAAAATAAGATCACGGTTAGTGCATGATCGATCACGGTCGGGAACTAAGAACGTGAAGTTGAGCACCGAGATTGCAACCTTCAGTGTCAAGATAACGGTCATGAAGATGGAGGCCTCAGGCGCAAACTCTTGGAGCAGCCAACAAGTGAGCTAGGAATAGGAAGTCTAGATAGTCGACTTACGACCCTCTTCATCCGAGCTCGCTAGAAGATCGCGGCCGCGAATAATGGATCAAGATCGTGAAGTCAGACCGCGAACTTGCTAACCAACAAAGCACAAAATGACGAAGCTCGAGATCACGACCTTCCCTTCCCAAATCGTGACCGCTCTGTTTCCTAATTCAACCGTGAACTTGCTCGAGACCCTAAAATTTATAAATAGTGGGTTCCTCCCCCCCCCCCCCCCCCCCCCCCATCATTTAGGGAGTTGAAATCAATTGAGAATTTTCTGGTTTTTGAGCGAGAAAGTAGAGACAGAAGCTGAAGGAAGGTGAAGAAAAGAAGGAGGAGTCAAGGAGGAAGGAAGCTCTCCCCCAATTCCAGTCTTCTTCTATTTCTCTACATGTATCTTCTTCCCTCCTTTATAGAGTAGTACTCTAAGGTACTAGAGGTTAAAACCCCAAACTCTAGAATTAGGTTTTGAATGTAGATGTAATTGTGTTAGTGTTTGTATATGAATTTGTTTGTTTCAGTGATTAATGCTTAATTATGTTGGGACTTGTCTCTTCATCTCTTCTCTTCTATCCCACAACTGAGTCTTCGAATTAGGTGGGAGTTTTAAAGCTAGACTTGATTTGAGCACCTTATGGCTAATTACGGGTAGATGAGCAATCTTAGGGTTCCTTTTGGTGGACGAGATGACCGCACCCCTGCTAAGGAATGCCTTCCGGAACAATGCTAGAGATGATGCAAGCGTCAACAATACATCACTTAGTGTGCATGATACGTTGAACCTATTGAGAGAGACTAAGTAATCATTCCCTAGTATGTGACCTTTGACTGAAGTGACAATGGGTCTTTGGGACTCTACTAGAAGGAGGAAACCCTCAATTGAGCGAGTTCTGCAACTTATCCAACAAACCCAACATAGTTAGCCATTTGCATGATGAAACTGAGTTTAGGGCGAGAGACTTACCCCGAAGTACCTGCTTTGTATCTTTGCCACTATACTAGCAATGCCATTTTGAGTTATACTTTGCTCGAAATGGGTTAGTTAGTCAGGTCGTGCAAACAATTGAAATGTCCCGCACATGATTCAACCAAAGTCTCAAAATTCAAATATATTAAATAACATATTTATGTTACCTTAACAAAAGTCTCAAATCTATTAATTAACAAAAGTGCTACATATAGGGCTGCAAATGAGTCAAGCCGAGCCGAGTTTTATCTGAACTTGAGCTCGGCTTGTTAATAAACTAGTTGCGTTCGAGCTCGGCTCGCTTATTAACGAGTCAAACCGAGTTCGAGCTAGCTTGGTTAATAAAATCTTGACTCGTATTTGATATATCATTTTGTATGTCATGTATGATACATGTGATTAATATCAAGATGAAAATAATAATTATTATAGTTAAGTGTTCAATATTATATAATCACGGTATTGCGGTTAACGGTTTAACCGATAACCGTACCGGTAACCGTAGTTACCGTTTAAACCGTTAACCGTATTCAACGGTATTCGGACGCGGGATTAGGGGCAGCGGTATACCGACATGGGATCGGTAATATACCGTCGGTACGTCGGTATTCCGATACCGCAATATTAAAGGGTAAAGGGCATATATATATATATAGCAGACCCAGTTCAGCAGTGAGCAAAAGTTGGCTCCCTAACCTGTAAGTCTGTAACTAATTAGATTAGCAAATTAATATATTAGTTAATACTTAAATAATTCATCGGTCTCTGCCCTCTGCTTACCATCACTCCTCAAATCCAAATGCAGCCTGGTCCAAAGCTCCAGAAAGAAGCTCCCTCCTCTCCATATCGCAGGGACACGCTCTATCCACGACCGACGACCCAGCAACCCAGTACGGTACCTCATCCTCTCCGTTGGTCCCTGTTTCCGTCGACCATGTCGCTGTCGGTCCTCGTTGACCTCACCGTCGGAGCTTCCCCGCTCGCCCAATCACTATACTGCTATTATTTAGGTTTGTGTGTTACTGAGTTAAAATGGATTTGATTCATTATGTTAGTTTAAATTGTTAATTACAGCAGACCCTTCACAAGCTTCCGTGACAGAAGCTGCAAAAGCTTCAACCGCCGATAACCACAACTGTCGCTGCTACTGACGATGGTAAATTACTGCCACATCTTCCATCTTTTCGAGACGACAACCACCCGCCAGGCATTTCGGGTTGACCACGCCAATCATATTCCCAAGTCACGGCTGTAAAGGCGACATGACGATGATGATTTCGGTTGACCGTTGCATAACCGGGAATAGGCGGATTCGGTAGTAGGTATACCGATACATTAACGATTTCGGATTTCGGTGGACATTTGCTGGCGTCCGGTATACCGATACCCGGTCAAACGGTAACCAGTTAAACCGATACCGACCGTTTTACCACCCCTAATCTCATGTTATATTTTGTGGTATCAAATTATTTAGTTAATTAATTTTAACTATTCATATAATTTCATACTATGTTATTTCATAGTATCGAAGCAATCTATGATACATAATTTCTTTTTAGAATAAAATAAGACACATTTGCTCACATAATCTACGTGTTAAACATTAAATAGGGTGAGATATATAATTTAACAATTCTATGAATTATCAAAATCAAACTAATATAGATCGATTCGCTCATAAGTCGGTAATCGAGTTGGCTCTTTAGTCACAATATTGAGAATTGAAACATCTCACGGGCTCTAAACGAGCCATCTCACGAGTCGAGCTAGCTCGCGAGCTACAGAGGGCTAAGCTCAAACTCGACACGTTAAAAATGAATCGAATCTTGAACGAGTTTTTCTCGAATCAAACGCCGAGCCGTTCGCAATCAGCTCGACTCATTTATAGCCGTAGCCACATGCTGCCATTCCATAGAATATAAGTCGCATTTTGATGATCAAGTTCTGTCGTGAAAGATACTTAAGAACATCGGAGGTGACGTTTGGCAGGGTGATTAATACAATGCTCATCTCCTTTGATTAGCTCTCCCTCAAAAACGTTAGCCTAGTATACTCTATGCATGTTTGGATCAAACATAAGCTTGAACAACTCTAAGTCTGCGCAGCATATTCTCTCCACAACCCTTTCAGCCACGAATTTGCAAACTTCCGGTCATTCCCCGCCGATAACTTCCTTAGGTTTCTAATTCTTCTATATATAAGCATAGCGCCATCGTATCATGTAATCCTAATCCCAACCCACATTCCACAGGACAAATGGTCCATTCAATTTCCAAGTATGAAACTCTCCTTCTATTAGTTGTAGTACCGCTACTACTTCTCCTTTCAATCAAACAAATCAACACGAAGAAGAGGACGAAGAAGAAGAAGAAGAAAGATCTCCCTCTGCCTCCAGGCCCAAAACCATGGCCCCTCATCGGAAACATCCCACACATGACCAGAAAGGTTCACATCACCATGACCCAATTCGCCAAATCCCACGGACCCTTAATCTCACTCAAACTCGGAGCTCAGGTGATTGTCGTCGCCTCTTCTCCGGCCGCCGCAGCCGAAATCCTGAAAACCCATGATCGTATCCTCTCGGCTAGATATGCATCCAACTCCAATCCGTTCAAACTCAGCGATATCGACCGAATGGCTATCGTGTCTGCCACGACGTGTAACGACAGCTGGAAGTCCCTTCGAGCGCTCTGTAGGACAGAGCTTTTCTCCGGCAGAGCAATCGAGTCGCAGTCCGCCCTCAGGGAGAGGAAAGTTTGTGAAATGGTCGGATTGCTAGCAGCTAGAGAAGGGAAAGTTGTGGACGTGGGGGAAATTGTGTTCACCACCGTTTTCAACTCGCTATGCAACCTTTTCTTCTCCGAGGACTTGTTGGTCTTGGAAGATCGAAAGGGGAAAGCTTGTGGGTTGAAGAGTCATGTTTCTAAATTAATGGAGCTCGCAGCTACGCCCAATATTGTTGATTTTTACCCTGTGTTGGAACTGTTTGACCCTCAGGGTCTGAAAAAGAAGATGACCAAGGCCGTCACGAAAATGTTCTCCGTTTGGGAGAGTTACATCAAAGAAAGAAGGGAAATTCTTGAATCGAGATCCCATGGAGATGCTCCGAAAGGAGATTTCTTAGACGTTTTCATTTCAAATGGTTTCGACGATCAAAAAATCAATTGGTTGTTCTTAGTAAGAACTACTATTTCCAGTCAAATGCTCTGTTTTTCTTAACTCTGCTTTTCTCTGACTTTTTTTTCTTACTCTGTTTTCCTTTACAGGAATTGCTGACAGCGGGAACAGAGACCACTACAACTACAGTGGAATGGGCCATGGCGGAGCTACTGAAGAACGGTAAAGAAATGAAGAAAGTTCGCGAAGAGCTGAAGAGAGAAATTGGGGGAAACTCTATTACTGAATCGAACGTCTCTCCGTTGACATTTCTGAACGCCTGCATCAAGGAGACTTTCCGGTTACATCCTCCGGCACCGTTCCTAATTCCACACTGCGCTCAGGAGACTTGCGAAATAATGAATTACAGAATACCAAAGGATTCCCAGGTGATGGTGAACTTGTGGGCGATAGGGCGGGATCCGTCCGTTTGGGAGGACCCGTTGTCGTTTAAACCCGAACGATTCATTCGCAAAAGATCATCAACCATTGTAGACTTCAAAGGTCTTCACTTTGAGCTTTTACCGTTCGGGTCGGGTCGGAGGGTATGCCCTGGACTTCCAATGACAGTTAAGCAATTGCCGTTGATTCTAGCTTCGTTGATTAAAGGGTTTGATTGGACTCTTCCTGACGTTGACGGTCCGACCAAATTGGATATGGCCGAGAAGTTTGGAATTACGTTACAGAAGGAACAACCTTTGCTACTTGTGGTCGGAAAACAGAGCATGTGATGTTGAAGGGGAGGCTCAAATCCCGGGTGGAGCAAGTTTGGTGCGAGTGTTTAAATTTGGGTTAGTTGCAAGGTTGGTCACTCAGATTATTAAAAACGTTCATGTTTGGTCACTACAAATATTTAATTTCATTTGTGATCACTAAGATTAGTTAATCATGGGGCATGGATTGAATCGAATTTCTTGTATGAACTCTTGAAAGTCCTATGATGCTTCATACTCTAGCTCCTCAGTCTTATCTATCAATATCTTTGACATTGCTATCTTGAGTGCCATTTGTGCTTGCTTCAACTCGGGAGTTGGTGGAGCTTCTTTCAACTTGTCTCCCCATTCCAGGTTCTCATTTTAGTGATGATATGTTGCATGTAAGGAATCCTCATATAGAGATCCTGAACGAGTCTTGATCTATATCTCTGGCTCCATATCTTCCTTCTCCTCAAAATCATCATCTTCAATGGCCTTATCCTCCTTCTTTTCTTCGATAGACCCTACTACTCGTTGCATGAGCTCTCTTACTTGTAGGGTGATCTGTCTCTTTGCCACATTGATCATAACTTCGTTAGTGGCTAGAAATGTTTTGCCATAGATTAGGGAATATTGGATTTCTATCTTCATCTCAATCACCATATAGTCTAGAAAGAAGACGAAGGACCCAATTTGGGTGCTTAAGCTGCAAAGTATTCCAAGACGTTGGCATGAAGTATTATCTATAATTTTGATCTCCTTATCTATGTCTTCCACATCAGCAAAACCCATATCCTCGTAGAGAGCAAGTGGTGATGCTAGAGCCAAGATCTATCAATCCTTGCTCCACATAATGGTCATCTAGGAGACAACTGATTGTGCAATGACCATGATCCTCCTCTTCATATACTTGAATGAGCTCTTTAAATTCATAAGGAATTGAACTGATGATGGCCTTCTCGATCTTCTCCTTTCTTACAAGGTGCTCGAGCTTCTCCTTTGGGCTCTCCATAACAATGATGCTCTCCTAAAGTGGCATATCACTCTCTCCTTCTCCTAAAGCTTCTATCATCTTCTTCACCATTGAGGATTGTTGAGAGGCTTCTTCATGAATGGTCATCTCCTTTGAGGTTGTCTCATCATTTTTGTCCTCTTTCTTATCTTGAGATGCCTACTCATATGGGCTTGAGCAGGATTCTTTTATTTAAAAACCCAAGGATTTATTAAAGGTTTGAGGCATGATGGATTTGAAATAAGTTTTTGTTTGTTGAGATGTTTTGATCATGGATATAAAATTTTGGGATTTAGAAGTTAAATTCCAAAATTACTTTAGGGGTCGTTTCGATGGAACATTCTCAAAATGAGGCAATTTGGGACAAAAGTCTCATTTTAGAAAATGAACTAATTGTATGAGGAAATGTTTACATAATTGTATTGTTTGGCTTATTATTTGGGATGAGACAATTCGAATGAAGCATTTTATGAAAATATCTATTTTCCCTCATTCTTTTACCCTTCTCCATCTTTTTCTCTTACTAATAGAAACCCATAAATTTACCAACCAACAACAAAGATATCCCAAAATCCATTTTCCTTGAATCAGTATAATCATCACGCCAAAATTATAATTACAACACTAACAAAACACAATCATCAATCAAATATTTGCTAGAGGAAGAAAACAAGATGATTGAGTAGGAAACGAACAATCCTGATCCTTAATCCAAATGCTGTTGATTCGGGTCTAAATGTACACATTTTACCCGTCATTTCTTGATAGTTTGACTTTGCCTTTGATAGTCTCTCGACCTATTTTACGCTAGGTTGTGCTTGTTTTGTCACATTTAAGGTCCTAGCACGTGGGTGAAGGTCGAGGACGAGTTTCTGGTCGATTGGAGGTCGAAAAGCGCGAAAAGTGAAGAAACGTGACAATTGCCCGAGACCGTGAAGTGCGGAGATTCCAGAGCAGTTTTTGGTCTCACTGGACTCAACTTAAGCCCCAGACATGAAGTGACTTAGTGAAACAGTCTGAATCTGCTCGACTTCACGGTCCAGGACGAATGTTCATGGCCGTGAACTGGGACCGTGATCAACCATCAACTTGGGTATAAAAGGGGAAGTAAGTTGAAGGAGAAGGGGAGCTTTTTGGTAGGTTTTTAGTGTGTAGAATAAAAGAGGGTTTCTAGTGAGATTAGGGTGTTCTCTTCCTATTCTAAAGAGAGAAAGTGCCATTCAAAGGAGGAAGAAGGTGATTTGGGCTTGCCTTGAGCTAGAGGATTGAAGGTTTCTTCTTCTCAAGGGAGATTCAAGCTACAAGGAAGGAAGATTGTCATCTCTTCATGGTTCTTTCTATAATATTTGTTGAATTCCTTTGCCTAGCTATGGAATATCCTACCTACGCACTTGGTTATAGTGAATCCTAGTCTAGATTTGTGTTAGGATGTAAGCACTTGATTCTATTGTGTTGATTGTGTGTTTTATATAATATTTGGGCTATTAATTATGAATGATTGGGTTTTGCTTGCATTATCTCATTATTGGGTCAAATTAACCTAGAAGGTGGAAATCCCCTTTGGCATATAGGGAGCTTGATCTCCTAGCCACTCGGGTAACCCCTTTTGGGTTAAACTAGTGCCAAAACCTCAAGTATCAGAGTAGTACCATGACCTCTTCATGATTGGTCGCTCTCCGCCGTTCGGATTAACTTCCAAGGGTTGGGTCTTGCAACCCTTAATTGATTAGTTAAGAGGGCTAGATTGTCTAGCCTATGTTGTCATCCTTAACTGAAAGGTTAAGAGTTAGTCTACTAACTTAATGCAACAATCCTAAATTGGTCAACTAAGAGAGTTAGGGTTTCCTCGATTTGTTTGGTTAAGAGAACTATGCCTCCTAGCTTATTGTTGCAATCCTTAGCCGAGCGGTTAAGAGAGCTAGGTTTGCTAGCTTAATGTAACAATTATTGATTGATCTACTAGGAGCGGTTAAGAGAGCTATGTACACGAGTAAAATCGCGTCATTGATTTACAGCATGTTCCAAATCCCACATCAACATGTAATGATTTTATTGCTGGTCTTCATTCCGAAGGTCTCCAATTCAAGTATGTTAAAATCGCATATTTATGTCACCTTAAAAGTAACAAAAGTGTCACATACTGCCAGTCAACAATGGAATATGCCATTTGATGACCAAGTTCTGTCTTACGTGAAAGATAGTGAAGAAAATCGTCGGTGACGTTTGGCGGGGGATTAATACAGTGCTAGTCTCCTTTGATTAGCTCTCCCCTAAAAAACGTTAGTCTAGTAGAACTCGCTCTATGCATGTTTGATCAAACACAAGCTTGAACAACTCAAACTCTGCTCTCCGTAACCCTTTCAGCCACGATAACTTTCTTAGGTTTCTTCTATATATAGGTAACGTAAACCCATTCTATCCTGAAATCCGAATCGGTATCCAATGTACAAATGGACCATTCAATTTCCAAGTATGAAACTCTCCTTCTCTTCCTTGTGGTACCACTACTACTCCTTTCAATCAAACAAATCAACTCAAAGAGGAAGAAGAAGAAGAAGAAGAAGAAGAAGAACAAAGAACTCCCTCTGCCTCCAGGCCCAAAGCCATGGCCGCTCCTCGGAAACATCCCACACATGACCAGAAAAGTACACATCACCATGTCCCAATTCGCCAAATCCCACGGCCCCCTAATCTCACTCAAATTCGGCGCGCAGGTAATCGTCGTCGCCTCTTCTCCGGCAGCCGCGGCCGAAATCCTCAAAACCCACGATCGTATCCTCTCGGCTAGATACGCATCCAAATCCAATCCGTTCAAACTCAGCGACATCGACCGGATGGCGATCGCATCCGCCACGACGTGTAACGACAGCTGGAAGTCCCTTCGCGCGCTCTGCAGGACGGAGCTTTTCTCCGCCATAGCGATCGAGGCGCAGGCCGCCGTCAGGGAGAGGAAAGCCGGTGAAATGGTCGATTTCTTGGCCGCTAGAGAAGGGAAAGTTGTGGACGTGGGGGAAATTGTCTTCGCCACCGTTTTCAACTCGCTGTGCAACCTTTTCTTCTCAGAGGACTTGCTGGTCTTGGAAGATCGGAAGGGGAAAGCTAGTGGGTTGAAGAGCAATATTTCAAAATCATGGAGCTTGTAGTTACTCCGAACATTGTCGATTTTTACCCTGTATTGGAGCCGTTTGACCCTCAGGGCCTGAAAAGGAAGATGGCCAAGGCTGCCACGCAAATGTTCTCTGTTTGGGAGAGTTACATAAAAGAAAGAAGGGAAATTCATGAATCGAGATCCCATGGAGATGCTCCGAAAGGGGATTTCTTGGACGTTTTCATTTTAAATGGGTTCGACGATCTCAAAATCAATTGGTTGTTCTTAGTAAGAACTATTTCCAATCAAATGCTTTCTTACTCTGTTTTTCCTAACTCTGCTTTTCGCTGACTCTGTTTTTTTCTTCTTATTCTGTGTTTTTTGGTTACTCCGTTCCAAAATTCTACAGGAATTGCTGACAGCGGGAACAGATACTATTACAACTACTGTGGAATGGGCAATGGCGGAGCTTCTGAAGAACGGGGAAGAAATGATGAAAGTTCGCGAAGAGCTGAAAAGAGAAATAGGGGGAAACTCTGTTACTGAAGAGAACGTCTCACAACTGACTTTTCTGAACGCCTGCATCAAGGAGACATTCCGGTTACATCCGCCGGCACCATTTCTAATCCCACACTGCGCTCTGGAGACTTGCGAAATAATGATTCCCAAGTGATGGTGAACGTGTGGGCGATAGGGCGGGATCCATCCGTTTGGGAGGAGCCATTGTCGTTCAAACCCGAGCGGTTCGTTCACAATGGATCCACCGTTGCAGACTTCAAGGGTCTTCACTTTGAGCTTCTACCGTTCGGGTCGGGTCGGAGGGTATGCCCCGGACTACCAATGGCAGTTAAGCAATTGCCGTTGATTCTAGCTTCGTTGATTAAAGGGTTTGATTGGACTCTTCCGGACGACGATGATCCGGTGGAATTGGATATGGCAGAGAAGTTTGGACTTACTTTGCAGAAGGAAAAACCTTTGCTACTTGTGGTCGGAAAACAGAGCATGTGATGTTGAAACGAAGACTCAAATTCCGGGTGGAGCAATTCTGGTGCCAGTGTTTAGATTTGAATGTGATCGTTTGGTTAATTAATCTCTAGTCCTTTGATTTTGTGACAAGTGTCATTTTAGTCCTGTTGGATTTAGTTAGGGATGACAAAAATATCGATAATTCCTAATATCCGTCCGAACCTGACCCGATTTGGTAGGGTAAAACCCTATCAAAATAAAATATCCGGTGGTATGGATAAAATTCTAACCTGAATATAACAGATAGTGGGTGTGTATGTTTTTCTTACTTTCCCACCCGAATATACATACTTATAAAATATTTTGTATAAATCATTACTTTTTGTTTTAACATATACGTTGTTACTAGTATATTTGTAGCATCTCATAAACTAGTGTTCCTTTACATTATTTCTCTCAGTATTGGTGATTTGTTATTTATATTTATTTTTTGCTTTTTTAATGTTAATACATTTGTTATTATTAACACAATAGTTGGAAAGATAAAAGGAAAAATATTATACATGGATACTCGAAAATCCGATAGGACATGAATATGGTTTTAATTTTCTACTCTAGTCTTGCACGAATATGAGTATGGATAAAACTCTAACTATTTAGGAGAGGGGTATGGATAATCAATATCTGTACGCGATCCGACTCATCAATGTCATCCCTATTTCTAGTTGTTGCTCACCTATCAAGCTTGCTGGTCGACTTTCAGGTATTTAACTATTTATCCTTCACTTTTGTCAAATTAATAAAATTAGTTTTTTGGCCCGCGCTTCGCCGCGGTAACAAATTAATGATTTAGTTTAAATCAAATCATTCGCAAAATTATTCAGATAAGATACATATGTGAGGTTCACGTAATGTCTTAATAATTATGAATAGCACATGTCATCCGTTGGTTTAAGTCAACTATTTCTACATACGGTTTACGTTGTGTTTAATCATTATGGAAAACTGTTAGTACCATCTAGCTCAGGCCACGAACGGTGATATTTGTTGTGTGGGGTTGATTCATGATCTGTTCATCTGATCTTTTCATGATCCGTTCATTATGGAAAACTTATATATTATTTCTTTTAATTAACAAATATAAAATGATTATTGTCCATAAACTTTATGCATTGTTTAAATCATTAAGGAAATTCATATAAAAGTATAGAACGTTATTACATAAATATTTCGTAATATGTGGTCTAATAATAAAAATAAAAGTTTAGAAAGTAACATATGATAAACTGTTATGTGAAAGTTAACTAATCAAGAGCTTATGGTAAATTGGATGTAGGAGATTAAGAAAGTTAACTAATCAAGAGTTTATGGTAAATTGGATGTAGGAGATTAAGAACTGTATAGAACATAGTTACATAAATCATTTATAATGTGTGGTCTAATAATAAAATCAAATTTAAGAAAATAACTTATAATTAAATAGTGTTACCTAATAAATAGCAAACATTTAAAAAGCTATAGAATAGTGTTACATAAACATTTAATAATGGGTGATCTAATAATATATCTCCATAAGCTTTACATATTGCATTTTAATGTACTTCACTGTTATAGAAAAGTGTTACATAAATATTTCATAATGTGTGGTCTAAGAAAAAAATAATTTACAGAAAGCACTACGTGTTACATCTTAATGTACTTAAATGTTATACAACAGTGTTACAAAAATCTTTCGTAATGTGTAGTCTAACAAAATTTTTTTTACGAAAAGTACTACATATATTTAAAAATAACTAATATTGCAAAAGTACTAATGTTACTTAAAAGGTGTTGAATAATGTTACATAAATATTTCATAATATACTATCTAATAATAAAATCAAGGTAGGAAAAATTACATTTGATTAAAATGTTAAAATAATTGAAGTGTAATTCATACCTAATACGTTTGTTTAATTGATATATAAGAAATATCTAACTCTCCATAAGTTTTACGTAATACATTTGTAATGCACGTAACTATAATATAACAATTTAATTGATACATAAGAAATATCTCTCTCCATAAATTTTACGTAAATATTAATGTATTGTATTAAATAAATATTTTGTAATGTGTGATCTAATAACATAATCAATATATTGAAATGTTAGTGTTACACAAATATTTCGTAATGTGTGATCTAATAATACAATCAAGTGCAAAAAAATATTATATTTATATTTGCTAATCTTAATAAAGAAATTGTTTGGCCGCTCAACTTCCAATGGTTTACGGCAAATTATAATGGACATGCCAGCAGGTAATATTACCCTTTGTGAACAGTGAAATTGTAAGCGACATTTTCGTAAGGAACAGTCTAAATAAAGAAATTGTTTGGCCGCTCAACTTCCAATGGTTTACGGCAAATTATAATGGACATGCCAGCAGGTAATATTACCCTTTGTGAACAGTGAAATTGTAAGCGACATTTTCGTAACGAACAGTGTTCCAACTTTTTAATTACTTGTGTCTTTAATTAAGTAATTGTCGTTTTTCCAATGATTTTTTTAAAAGCTTTCATCGTGGTATTTAAGCTTGATGATGAAAAATTTGCTCTGATCCTAGGAGTATTGGTTAATGGTTAGTAGTGAGTGATGGATTTATGGAAGGGTCCTTTCCATCTCGCGAAAAAGATTGTTGGTTTTTTTTTTTTTTTTTTTTTTTTGTAAAAGCTAAGATCCAAACAAAGAACAAGATGAAGAAATGAGGGTATGTTGGTTCAGATGAATGTGTTTTGTGTAGCCAGGAGTCTTAAAGCATAGATCATATTTTTTCTTCATGCTTTTATTTCAAAGATATCTTCAAGAGGCTATTCAGGCATTATACTAATTCTTGTCCGACGGTCTGGGAAGATTGTTATACCTGGACAGCTCAACACTTGTGGAAGAAAAGCTTTAATGTTGGGATTGATAATCTCATCTGGCAATCTATGATGAGCCATATTTGGAGGGAACGATGCAATCAACCATTTCGAGATAAAATGAGGAATGTGGAACGTCTGGTGAGATATGAGAGATTATGGCCTTGTGCTGCAAAGTTCTGGCTTGTTATTAATGGGTCTAGCCAGTTTGTAGCAGCAAATTGGATAATCATATAGGTTACAGGTTGTGGCAGATTGGTACACTGTGGATATTCAACCAAGTTGATTCAATAATTTTGCCATCTACAAAGCTAAAAAACTCTAGCAAAGTGGAGGAAGATTAGTTAGATCAACAATTTTCAGATGATCCCTGCAACTAACCTCGATCCAACAATTAGGTAGATCATGCAAGTCCCAGCTTCACATGATTCCCAGAAACAACTATAAATCGACACACAGTTTCAACCCATGAGATCATACAGCTAATCAAACCATCCCAAAACAGCTACGAAACAGAGGAAGAAGGTTTCGTGGGGGAAACAAAAACAGAGTAACTCTGCTTTTTCACTATGGCGTTTCTCAAGTACTCTGCCGCCACAACACTCCTGCTGGCGATCGTCGTAGCTCTGGCGGTGGTGGTGGTGGTTCAGGCGCAGCAGGCGTGTCCAGTCCAGCTCAGCAACCTCAACGTCTGCGCGCCGTTCGTCCTGCCCGGCGCCGCCGCTCCCAGCTCCGAATGTTGCTCGGCGCTCCAGTCCGTCCAGCAAGACTGCATGTGCAGCACTCTGCAGATCACTGCTCGCCTTCCTTCACTCTGCAAACTCCCTCCCATTGGCTGCGCCGCTAACTAGTCGAGTGGGTACAGAGCTCCCATTTCCTGCTAAAACGTGGCTTGACTTGATTACTGATCAGCGGCTTTGTTTGTTGCGTTTGCAGATGCTTGGGAGAAGATGGAACGAAGCCGATCAGTGGCCGTCCGCAGAATAATGTCAGAGATTCCCCCCCATGATTACAACTTCATCTTCTAGTTTTCGTTTTGTGTTTTTGTTTTACTCACAATCGGCTTGTACACCGATCTGATCTACAACCAAGCACAAGAATTTGGTTTTTGAGAAATAAACAAACTGAATCGGAAAAGTGCAGAATAATTAATGAGGTGATTCGTGACTGAACTCAACAATTGTGTTTACAGGGTTTTTCTTTTCATGCAATTCGGTTCTGCGATTCCATAGTTGATACCTGTTTCTCTAGCTATTATTTAATGATGATGGAGTATATCAATAATCTTCATTTCATAAACATTGATAATTTTATTGCAAAACATAAATAATAATATTGCAAGTTGCCATAGAGAGAGCGAGAGTGTACTTTTTTTCGTGAGGAGAGTGTACTTTTTTAATTTCAATTTTTCATTTTTCAAAGTTTAATATAATTTCAAATATTTTTTTTTTAATTAAAATTATATTAAATAGTAAATAACAAAAACTAATTGCATTTTTTTAATTACATGAAATGTTTGTTTATAATATATTAATTGCCATTTTTTAGGGATAGACTTATCCCTTCTCTGAGTCTCTCTCATTTTCTTATTAGCGAAATTTTTTTTTAAAAATTTCTTAAGTTTTCTACTTAAGAAGAGCATGATCCAACCCGCCTTATCCGCCAAAAATAACATTATTTAATATTTGCAGAGAAAATTGATTCGCTTCAGCTCTTCCAACAACAAACGGGTTCTTTTCGTTTTCTTTTTTTTTTAGAAAGATCGACGCACAAAGCGTCTAATTCATAGAAACGGAACGTTCATGGGCAATGCCCATTACATCATGTCGAAGCCAATAAACTAAACCCATATCCCTTACATTGAGATGTGGTCTTCCATTATGACTAGGATGTTGGGCCCGGGCCCAATATATATAGCAGCCAAACGTAACTTCTACGCCTAATGCATGCAAGACATATTTCGATAACGAGAAGGCAAAAGGATTAGGGATTTCTCCGCCTCTCTGTATTCTTCTCCCAATTGAGCTCGCCGGATCATGGCCATCGACAACTATAGCAGCAAAAAGACTAATTGCTTCCCGGCCTTCCTCCATCATCAGCACTCTCGGAGACGATGAAGATCTCCTCGTCGAAATTCTGATTCGACTCCCGGGCCCTAAATCCGCCTTCCGATGCAAATCCGTATGCAGAAGCTGGAACGCTCTAATCTCCGCTCCCTATTTCTCTCGCCGTGGCGACAGACGAATTCGAACAGCCTGTCCTGACTCCCTCACAAGTCTGTCGACTGATCTCGAGCTTCCTCCCTTTCCCTCGATTCGGTCAATGTTGGAGCAAACTGTATGACGTCTGGTGGTCTAACAACTTGAGTTGTAATCGCAAGTCCGAAGACGACAGCGAGATCATGAAGATGGATTTTAGGTTCGGAAGCGTGGTGGGTCTACATCCTCAGAGGTCGGGAATCGTGTTTTTGTTGGGTTATCATCTTAATGATCGAGAAACGACTATTTTGTCGTTGAATTTTAGAGATCGCGAGTTCGAATTCGTCACTGATCATCAAGATAGGGATGCTGACGCCTGACAAAATGTTCCAACCCACGGTCCCATTTTGGCCTAGTTTGATTGCAAGCTACAAGATGTTGCAAAATCCATATAATGGAAGTTATGATTGTTGGATTCCATCACTGAGGTAATTAATCAACCTCTTGAATGTGAGTATTATAGGCCAACCATCTTTTTGTAGTGCACTGACACGGCTCCTGTTCACATTTAGTCTCTTACTCTATGAGAGTTATATTATATGTGTTGGATCGGCTATGTTTTCCAAGGTTGTCAACCAGGGGTTGACCCACTTTCACCCTGACCCGGTGAGAAAAATGGGCCGCACGCACTCGCCGGGTCGACCACTATAAGGTACCGGGTTGGAGGTCAAATTGTGTCATTTTTTTCTTTGTTTTGCGAAATGCATCTATTTTTCGATTTTTCATTTTGCCTAACTCAATCTTTGGAATCCTAAGTTGAACATTTGAATATTAATGTTATATAAGTGTGTGTGAATTTTCACTATATGTTGAATCTAAGTACGAAATGTTATTTTGGTGTAATATTATATGTTATAACTCATATGTTAGATGAGATTTGATATAATTTATCAGGATAAGTACAATATAATGACGCTTCCCATATTTCCGGGCTAAACCGAGCTAAAATGGGTGACCTATTAACCCTTGACCCACTAGCTCAACCGGATCCGGGTCAACCCGGGTTGACAGTCTGAAGCAGTTCTCTCATCTTTGTATAGACTACAGTTGATTGGATTAAGTTGCTTCTGTATATGTTTAGAGGCATATTATACTTTTACCTCAAATACTCCGCTGGCTATAGCCATATAGTGGCATATATTATTTGTGGTTGCTTAGAGATTTAATGGGGAAATGTTTTAGCTGCTAATGCCAATTTTATTTGCGATAGTATCCAACCATTAAGGCATAATTATGTGCCGCTAAAATTATATATGGAGGCTAATGTCTTTTATTCTAAAATTAATTTTATCAAGCAATTACATTTCATTTATATAAGTTCGTAGCCATTATTTGCCTCTAATGAATGGATAATTTTCCTTATAGGTGACTACCATATATATATAATGAATCTTCATAAAATAATATATATGAGGAACAATAAACGATGACAATTATTGCATAAACTTCTTTACATTAACCATGGGTACAAGTAAGTGAAGAGAAACGTTTGGAAGATAAACTTCTTTTCATGATTCATGTTCATTATGCTTTAATTTAGATGGTTGATTCTGCTTTGATACTATGAGAGGAAATACCTGATTAAATCCATAGAGCATCATAGATTGAAAGTAGGGAATCAATTACACGATGGTGAATTGATTCAATACTTTGTATTGAGTGAGAACCTCACCCAATAGAGGGATTCTAGTGTAGAACGCCTTGATCGGTTCTTTTAGAGAAAGTTGCGTCCCTCTAAGCAACCAACTCAAGAGGGTCTTGATTGTTTTGATAGAGAATTCGAGATTCAAGGCTGAGTCAAGGAATTTCTGCATTATGAATGAAGTGGAATAAGTTAGAGAATTATCAATCATTAGTCCGGCTAGTGGCTATGAGGAATCAATACCCGAGTGAGGTACCAATCTGTAATTAGTAGTCCAACTTTAGTATATTTGCCCAGTAGTATAGTTATTCAACATGAAATTCTTATCTACTAAATAATTAACTGAGGTCCAGTAATAGTAAGTCTAGAGATCCAAAGTTCCCTCAAAAAAAAAAAAAGTCTAGAGATCCAAGGATATGATAAATTTATTACTTGTGTCACTATATTGCAGTCCTTTTCATTAGTTACACTTTACCTTTGTTAGTAGTGTAGTTGGTAGCGAGTGCTAGGCGTGATTGTTTTTTCTATCTATATAACATGAAGTTAAGTAAATTATTTCCTATAATAGTAATCAAATATTCGTAAATTAAAACTGTAGTTAGTTATGAATATTTCAGGATAATTGCAGACGACTATAGATCTATGCACATTTTCCGATTGTGATAGTGAAGAATTTATTGACCGAGGGTTGCTGTAACATCTTGGATCATCGTTTGCCATCTACTAACTAATAACATTGAATATTAATTAGCCACTAATAACATCCAAGAGCAACATCAAAGGACTTAAAATAAACTCTGACGGGGAATCAGAAGAAGAGGAAGTTCCTTTTGCAATGCCAACCCGAATTTCTCACTCATATCCAATTTTGCCGGATCTACTTCGTTGGGAAGACACCAATCGAAGTTATGAACCAAAGCAGCCAAAACTAGTGGAATCAGCCTTGCGGACAATGACATCCCCGGGCACATCCTCCTCCCACCACCAAATGGCACCAACTCAAAATGTTGTGCTCTAAAATCAATCTTTGACCCGATAAACCTCTCGGGCTTAAACGTCCCCGGATCATCATCCCACACCGTTGGATCCCTCCCTATTGCCCACACGTTGACTGTAATATAAGCCCCCTCTGGGATTGTGTAATTCAATAGCTCGCAAGATTCTGAAGCTCGGTGCGGCGGCAGCAACGACACCGGCGGATGTAGTCTCAGCGTCTCCTTCACGATTGCATTCAAATAAGGAAGTCGAGACGTCATGGCTTCGTCAATCAACGGTTTTCCCGATATGAGTGGCAACACTTCACTCTTTAGCTCCTCCCGCAACTTATTCATCACTCCCCTATTTCGAATCAACTCTGTCATCGCCCATTCTATTGTGGCCGTGTTAGTGTCCGTTCCAGCAGTGAACAATTCCTGGAAAAAAAATAGGAAAAAGCTAAGCTAAAACTGAACTTGTTAGCGTAAACCATAAAATCGAATTGATATTTAAAAAAAAAAACTTACGAGACTCAACCAGTCAACTTGGTCATCATCGAGTCCATTTTCCAGAAGAATATCCAAAAAATCTTTAGTAACATCAGATCGCTCTCTCTCCCCGCCGCGCTCTCTCCTCTCTTTGACGTCACGTTGCCAAAGAGAGTAGAGCTCATTGCAACGAGTAGTTGCCTCGCGTCTCAAACCCTGGGGATCCAAATTCTTCAGAACTGGAAAAAAATCGGCGAGATTGGGGGAAACCCCTAATTCTATCAACCTCTGAATCAGTGATTTCAGTCTATTCGCGTTCTCATTCCTTTCAAACCCGATGAAATCTCGGGAAAAAATGAGATTGGACAACATATCAAATATAGTAGCGAAAACCACTTCCCTGATACAAACCGATTCCCCTAACTTCCCACCGAGAAATTGCACCATCTCGGCAACCTTCTTCTCCCTGACGGCTGCTTGAGATTCAATCGCCTTAGCCGAGAAGATCTCGTTTCGAAACATGGCTCGAAAGGCCTTCCATTGGTCGTTGCAGTTTGACGCCCATACGACCGCCTTGCGGTCGAGCTCCGCCGTGTCGTAAGGCAGCGCTCTCGGGACGTATCTTCCGGAGAAGAGGCGGTCGTGTGTTTTCAAGACCTCGGAGGCGGCGGCCGGGGAAGATACGACGACGAGGAGCTGCGAGCCGAGGCGGAGGGATATGAGAGGGCCGTAGATGTTGGACAAGTTTCGGAAGGAGATGTGAGGTTTTTTCCCCATGTGAGGGAGGTTTCCGATGATCGGCCATGGTTTTGGACCCGGCGGAAGCGGCTTTTTGGGAGATGCAGCGGCGGCGAGAAATCGGGAAGTGATTACGACGGTGAGAATGGTGATGGAGATTGGGAAGAGGAGGAGTAGATGATAGCACGCCATTTTGGACCTGGTGCGTATGTCTGAAGGCAAGGCATAAATGCAGGGTTTATATAATGCGAAGGACGGAACATGTGCATGCATGAAATTTACACGTGGCATGATCAATGATTCCGTCACGTGGCATGATGAAGAGTGACTAAAACCATTATTAGCCGCCGCTGATCGTTTGATTTCACGTCACCAAAACATTAATACTGCATGATCTGGTCTTGTTTGTTGTGAAGCCAAATTTAGCTTGAAAATGAGAATTATACTAGGGATGGCGGGCGGGTTTCGGTGCTAGGGATGGCGGGCGGGTTTGTATCACGAACATTTTTTAAATTGAATCGTTATTTGTCGTCCTAAAATTCAAATTTTATCGCCCTAAATTGCATCAAATTGACATTTTTACCCTCTAGCCCAATTTTCGAACCAAAACCTAAAATAAACAATTCATTACCCCTGCCCAGCCGCCACCGAGCTCCACTGTCCTCCGGCGCTGTTCCCGCTGTCAAATTTTCTCGCCGGTAGCTGCCAACCTCACGTTGATTTTGTCCGATACTTGGTCGACCGGAGACTAAGACGGCTTCCGAGTTGATTTTGTCCAATACTTGGTCAGGTGAAGTTTCGGTGGCGAGAAAAGGGGAGAAGAGGTGAGTTGCGGTTGGCTTCAGATGTTGTGTTCAGTTCCTCTCCTTGATCCATATTTTCCAAGGCATCAGGATCATAATCATCCTCATCATTCAAAGGCTTTCTTCCCCTCTCATCTCGTGTTCCATTTATTGGCGTCGTATGTGTTTGTTTTAGTGTTCATATGTTTTGAAAACAAACATTAAACAAAGGATATTTGAGTCATTTTGATAAAAGTTAGGGCGATGAATAAGGTATTTTAGGGCGACGAATAGTAATGCACATAGGCTAAATTACACGTTTGATCACTCAAATTATACAAATATTTCACGTTTTTCATTCAAATTACTTTTTTATATTTGCTACTGACTTTACGAATCGGTTCACCGTTAGTAACCGGCCGTTACATTCCGTTAAATTTATCCTACGTGGCAGTCAGCTATAAAGTTTGATCGTCAACTAGATGACGTGAAAATTTAAAAAAATTATTTATTTTTTCCACCTCCTCCTTTCACTTAATTTTTGTATATTTTCATATGAATTATTTAATAAAAATTAATAAATTACAAAAAATAATTATCCCCGCCGCTTCAGTCACCGCCGACTTGGGCTGCTCGTCGAGGGAGAGACCCGCAGTGGTGTACGCGGACCAGTTGAGAATCCGGAGCTGGTCTTTGCTCCGTTTGGTCTTCCCCCAATTTTATTCCCCCAACTCTCGCCATCGACAAACTCGCCGATGAGCGTGGCCGGCTGTAAAATCTCGGCTGTGTCGTTACCGTCCCTTCGATACGCCTAAACCCAAACTCGAGAATCCGTGCCCCTCTGTCTCCCTCTCAATTTTACCCAAATATTAGGTTTAGCGGCCGCGGAGCCTCCTCGAATTGAGAAATTAGAGAGCCGACTGACTTATGGTGCTTTCACCGCCAACAAGATATTCAGACTCGTCTCCAGCGCCACCTCCAATCCCATCGCCCAGTACCTTTCTTCACCCACCACTTATTTCCATTCCGTCGACCCTACAATCAAAATGGTAAAAGGAATATTGAAGCTAGCGGCGGATCTAGGGGGGCCGCCCCGGGCCACGGCCCAGCCCTCCCTCGATCCAAAGCTAGTATAGCACTTGTAAATTTTCGATTTTCGATGTTCGTTTCAGTGTTCGTCGTGTTCGTCGTTTCAGTGTTCGATTTATCTAGTGCTCTACTCGATCTTGGATCCACCGCTGATTGAAGCTTCACCCTTTCTATCTTAGCGAACGTGAAGAATTGCTTCCATTGCCCATTTGGTTAATCTATGCTTCTGGGTGGTTGGTAGCCCTCCTGTTATCGACCTCTATTCTTGTAATTTATTAATTTATGTTAAATAATTAATTTGATAAATCATATAAACAAAGCAACTAGAATGATGAGGTGGAAAAATATTTTTTTTATTTTTTTTATTTCCACGTCATCCAACGATCAAACTTTATAGTTGACTGCCATGTAGGACAAATTTAACAGAGTGTAACGCTCGGTGAGTAACAATGAAATGATTCGTAAAGTTAGTGGTGAATAAGAAAGAAAAGTAATTCGGGTGACAAATATGAAAGAATTGTATAATTTGAGTGACCAAACGTGTAATTTAACCTTTTAAAATATTTAAATTCATATATATATGCGAAAGTTGTTTTCAACTCTATTCTCGTGATTTTCATAAATCTGTGTGTAGTATTCGTCCCGTACTTTCAAGTGTATTTTTAATTATAACACTAAATCAATTTAATAAATTAGGAAATTAACAAAAATGCAATCATTCTTAATATGGTGCACAGAATCATGATCTTAAAACATCCAATAATCCATAAGATACAATATAATACTATCCAAATCATTCATCTCACACTCTGATACATCTATTAAGCAATAAATAACTAACATAATCTTGTTTTTTTATAGGAACCTGCATTCCAGCTTTATTAAGACGAAAACGGCGTTACATCATCACTAACAAGTTGATCCAACAAATTCAACGGTGATCTATCAAACTATACATCTGTATATCCCATCTCGCTCTCGTGTGAGCCATAGTATATGATGCCTCATTAGCATTCCTACTAGCATACTGCACGTGCCCTTTGTCAAACTCAGCCACCAGCCTGTTTATGTCCCTGATCACCGTTTCCAGTTCCGTTTGGACCTTCTGCAGCGCTTTCAAGTTGTGTACCACAACTTGACAGTCGATTTCCACAATGGGTTAGGCTAGCTAATCTTGACGTGCCAATTGTAAGCCAAACTCAATTGCCAGAGCTTCTCCCATCGTTTGAAACAAACCCATCTTGCCTAGAAGCTTGGCCAGACATTGCAAGCTTGCAAGAAAACTAAATCAAAGTTCTAAAAGAGAAAGGAAGAGTTGAGATCTGAAATTTGAGCAATTATGCTAAGATACCATAAGAAGAAAAAAGAATTGCTTGGGTTTGGTAAAGAGATCTCAAAATCTTGAGTTTTTCATTTTCTGACTTTCTCCTTTAATTTTTAACTGGCAATTTCTCTCTTGTATGAAGTCGATTTTTTTTTTCACAGATAAATTAAATTAATTGTGCTCTTCAAATGATATCCACTTTGATATATTTTTTGAAAAAAAAAACTAGAGACATTTATTACCATTCTATACCATTTGGTATTAAATAAGAGCACGACATGTGTTATGAAAGTATACCATGGTGGTATGAACATACGAGATTGCAGGATGGTTGCATACATGATAGTAGAAATATACTAACTGTCATTTACGACTTTCAACATTGTGTACCACAAGATACCAACCCTATACCAGGGTGGTATTTCTTCGTCTTGTATTTTTTTCTCCCAGAATTCTGAAGATCCAATAAATCATGGATTAAGTGAGATTAACTCATTCCTTCTGTGCAAATATTTTCAAAAATTACTTAAAATAAATGAGATACCATATGGCATATGGTATAGAGTTGGTAACAAGAAGTAGGCTTGGCAACGGCATCCGAATTCCGGATACCCGCCCGGACCCGTCTGGTTTTTTGGCGGTGAAAATCCGTTTGACCGGATTGTTGACGGGTTTCGGGGAACCCGATACCCGCTATAGCATGTTGACGGACGGTGATGGGTTTGCTGGTATCCGCTCCGACAGCACCCCATCCCAATTTATTTCGCTGACTGCCGCCACTAACTTCATAGCATCTACATCCTGGAAAATGAATTTTGGCCCACGCAGGCAGAGGGAGAGGGATGTGATGATGAAAAAGCAACCGCCAATTCTCATCCCTTCCCTTTCTTCCTCGGTGCTCTCTAGAAACCCGTAACTCCCACCAATCCGCCACGGCCGCCGCCGCACCTCTGTCGCCGCCAATCCCAACTCCCACTTCCCTCACCGACCTGCCGCAGTCCGATTCCACCACCCCATTCTCCCACACGCTCTTCTCCCGCATCCCGCTTGCTACCCCGACGACGTCCCCCACATCCACAAGCTCATTAATCGAATGACCGTCTTCGAGAAGCTCACCCAGCTGAAGAATTTTGGGTATTTAATTGGGGTCGGGTAAATCCGATACCCGTCCGGGCTCGGGGGTGGTATGATTTTGACATCCGAGAAAGCACATCGGGCGGGTTCGGGGATTACCCGATATGCAATCGGGTGGGTAATGGATAGTGGGAAACCGTCCTCGATCCGCCCCGTTGCCATGCCTAACAAAAAGTATGCAGTTTTTTTCTTAAAAAAATTGGAAATGAATCTTATTTTGTAGAGCACAACGAACTCGTTTTATCTGTAAAAAAAAATTAAATTCAAATTAAAAAAAAAAAAGCTTATTAAGAAAATAAAATATTTTTAATTATCAACCCTTAGATCTGGAGGGTCCAGATCTTGTATGCAAGTTATGCACCATATGACGTGGCATGTTAGATCTGCAGCCGAGATATGTGTACTGTTACTGTGTTAGGCCATTCTCTAAGAGGTTATCAATGGCGTGGCATGTTGGGCCTGGGCCCAATATAAACAGCTTCCAAATGTTAGGCCTAATGCATACATGACATTAACATATTTCGATTAGGAAAAGGCTTACAAATAAGTTTGTAATTTAATTGAAGGACTAGAATGACCCGCTCGCTACGCTTCGCAAGAGTTGAGAACTGAATAGCAAATATGAAGTCCCAATTCCGAAAGACTGCTAGTATCACTACTGTTAACAGTTGTTTTTTTCATGATAACATTACATAGTTGTATGAAATAAGGAAATATAACCTCTAAATATAAAACTATAGAGAAACATGGTCTAATAAATATTGTAGAAAGAACGGATAAAGGAGCAAAGAACTGAAGCACACTCGAAACACCTATGGAGACGCATTGGTAGTTCTGGTTCATTTTACATATTTCGACTTCCTTCATCTCTTGTTTGTACTGC